TTAGACACGATCTGAAATGGCTACCTCAAAAATCGAATTCATTCAGTTTCCACCTAACAGACCGGATTTGAATGTGATCGAAAACTTTTTCTCTGTGTTCAAAACGGAGCTGAGTCACCTTCCNGGGAGTGGCCGTTGGAGGCCAGGGTACGGCATATACTGGAGGAAACTGACGAAAGTGATCTAATTTCCAAGTTGGTGGACTCCATGCCAAAAAGACTGACTCAAGTACTCCAAAATAAAGGAGGACACACAGATTATCAAAAATATGAAACTCCTCAATCTGTGTAATTGATATAAGTTCTTTTCACGAATAAATGTTTATCATTTCCCCCCACAAACGTTCGGTTATCTTACAGTCGATGCGTCAGCAACCATAGTCGAAATGGAGAAATTGTACTTTTCTAACGCGCTCGGCCAAAAGAAGCAACCATATAATTTATTAGTACTATAAAAATTTTGCGAGTGACCTAGGGTAATACCATGTACATGCCTGTGCATGAGGATCAAAACGTTTGGCAATGAGATAAATAGATTTGGGAAAAGTCATGATGTTGCACTAGTTTGGTTAATACCTATATATATATATATATATATATATATATTACCAATCGGTAAATTGGCATACATACAACAAAATATCTCATTTGGAACCAGTTTCAGAATTCCCACAGGCACACAAGTTAAGTGACCGGGCACTTACGAAACGAAATGGGCGGGAAAGTGGTTGTTTGACTGGAGGAGCCGCTATTCAATTGCCGTGGTAGACAAAAGCTGTAATTGTGACTTGGCATTTTTTTCTCCTTCTATTTTTTGACTGCAGGGGATATAGCGAAACTATTCTGGAAATAGATTGTGTAACACTGTGCTGCTGCGCTCTCCAATGAATTTCATATTGGGCAAAAAATATTTCCATCTTCACATTGGTTAGCTAAGGGAATTCAGTTTGATGGGTAGTTGTGTATGTGTGCGTAATGTTCTAACAATTCGAAAGCTATCTGTTATTAATATTGTAATACTGAATCTACTGTTTTCCTCAACCCAGTCTAGAATGTGGAAATTTTTGTATTCTCGTTAATAGTGAAAAGCAGCTGGTTGTTTTTCTCTTCTTGCACACTCTGTCTGCTCTCGCCTGAATCTCCCTTCCACGAGTGAATATATTTTTTTTCGCTGTTTGTTGTGCAACATTCCAAAATCACCCTATTTCTTCCCTTGAACCACAAACCATTTCTCGCTAGTCTAAATCTTCCTTAGACACACACACACACACACACACACGAAAGGTTGATGCAATCAGATGCAATTTTGACTGACACCAAATGTGATTGATTGTCTATCGGACAGAGATGTTTCTGCCAAATTGTGTTACTATGATTGAACTAGCGAAACATCGTTTTGTCTTTTGTTCCATACTTGTTTTCCTCCTCGGTCGTCCATCTGACACTGTTTGTATCACACCATTCTTCCCTCCGCCGCCCCCTCTCGATTGTGCCATTATCTCAGCTGTCGTATCTGCCGATGAACGTCCGGATCTCTTTCAAGCCTGTTTACCCGCCTTGGTGCGCCTGGGCGGCGCTTTCCCCAGTTTGGCACCGGTTATTGTGCGGCTGGTACTTTCCGTTGGTGCGCAAATCGGAAGCACATTGTCCGAAGCCNCTCGAACCGCATTACGTCTCAATCTGAGCCTCGATACCGGTACGTCCTGTCGCACACACGATGCATAGCTGACATGCCCATCCCGTTCTATTCTTGCAAGACATATTTTATAGCTCGATGCTGGCAGTGCATGATAGTTCATCTCCGTTTTGTGTGTTGTAATTTACTGTGGAGGGGAAAAAATTAACCCAGACTTCGTTTGGACTGGACTGTTAAATTTTCGTTTGCTGTCCAGTATCTTCACAAACACGTCTTTTCGCATAGCTTTTGGTATTTGTACACCATTCACGCGATCAACTGCTCGGATGTGAAATTCTGTACTCGACTTGTTCCTTGTGAAGTGCACCCAATTGTCAAACGAGGTTCACTTGTTGCAATTATCGCACGTCCTTCCCTAGACAGTATTCGGATTTCATTCTTCTGCATATACCGTCGACCCTAAAACTGACACTCATCTTTTTGGGTGGGTGTGTGTGGGGGGGGAGGGGTACTTGATTTTTCGTACCACTTTANTCCTCCGTTATCGTAGACGTCCGTATTGATCTCTCTTTTCCTTTCTCACTCTACCACTTGTCTATTTGAGTGCTCACCGTAAGCGTTTTCGAAAGGCACTCCAGCACGACAGAGTCGGGTAAACCAACAGCGTTCCGGTCCCTTTTTCTGGTCGACTCTAGGTAGGGAACGAAATGGTACAAACGAGCTAATGAACCCAGTGATAGACGTTTTATGACACATTTTTGTGGCGTGAATAGCAGACAGAGTGAACCCCGTAGTCGCGTAGACCTGCTATTCAATATAAACCCCGGGATTTGGAGTGGCGAACCACATAAGGCGTGATTACCCAGTCGGCAATTCAAGGAAGAGGTAGTTTAGCCATCGATTACAGTCACAATAGTTTCCGTTTCAGTTTGTACAACCATTAACCGTGCACTTTCGTGATCCGGTTTTTCGGTTGCTGTCTTTCGGCTGCCCATTCGAAAGAGCAGTCAACAGGAAGGTTGAAAGTAGAGCCGAAGATAAAATGAATCATTTCAGTGGACTATGATTTCAAAGAAATTGAGAAGATGCACAGACACCATTGTTTGCGACACTCAGCCTTTGTCGCTCACTGTCTCTAACCACCGGCTACGATCATGCCAAGGTCCCCAGCCATGGAACTTACCGGCGTTTACAATAGTGCCTAATTCCCTCTCACAATACCCTGTTTCCGTTTTTTGGCAAGTTCATTGTCACCGTTCTGCCAATTTGACCAACACCAAGCACTTATATTGTGCTAGACTTCACGTTTTGTCAAACGGATATTTTTGTGAGGCAGATATTTCCTCACAGTGTAAGCAAATGAAACCTGTTTTTCCACAAAGGATACGTACCAGTCTATCAATTGTTCACATCCCGCATCGATCCAGATTGCGATGTGTTTGTTTTGAGCTGGATGCTTTTCGATCGGAATAGATCATTGGATTGGATAGTCGTGTTCGTTCTCGTTCGCCCAAGAAACTGCTCTACCCCGTCAGTTGTCTAGTCGCAATCCCATTGCTGTGGGTCGACTTCTTTTCCCCAAATTTGAATAAGTACGCTCGAACGTTTGTGCCGTGTACGGACACATCGAGCTCCCTTGTAACTGACTTGTACATTTTTGGCTCTGATTATTTGTTTTTGTTTTACTATCTGTATTGTTCTAATGCCCCGCATGTTCTAGGATTAACCTAACGAAATCCGATGTGTATATGCATCGAATGAGCGGAGCATGAACCCGAAATCATATTCTCATGTTTAGTGCCTATCTTGTCCAGTTTTTTTTGCACTCGGTCTGGATGATATCGTGTTTTTCAACAACAAATCAAGGAATCACATTGTGTCGTAATAGGCGATGCGATTTGGAGGTGTCCTCTGTGAACGTTCCGAGATTTATTTATCCTATTTTGAAACAAGAAGAAGAAGAAGCACCAAAAACGGTGGATTTGGAAATTCACTCTCGTCTCACCCCCTCTGTGTGTAGACACGTTGCCAGGGCGTGGATGCACTTTAAGGAGGAAAAAAACAGAAGAGCAGTGCGCTTTTCATCTTTCCAGTCGGGAAGGCATTCTGTGTGTGTGTGTGTGTGTTCGAAAATAGACCCATCCGATGGAGATTTACACACACACACACACACTGATGAACACGTTCCCAGTGAAGTAGTAGTAGTAGTAGTAGTATCAGTAGTAGATCTCCCCACGGTGTTTCCACATGTGTATGACAAACTTCATTCTTTCTTCTACCGTGAGGCACCGCCTTAGACCTCTAAGTGATTGTGCACATATCAGATGTGTTCCGTGTTGTTGTTCGTTCATCCCCTCAACCGTAGTGGACAAAAAAAACCCAGTTTATAAGGTAAATGATTACATTA